GTAAAACATGTGCGTTTCACTGTACAACTGGACAGCTCTAAAAGATGCCGCGAGTTGACGCCATATTATGTGACGCATGGAATAGTCTTGCAGGATGCTACACTAAGTGAAGAAGTTGGCATTTGGAGTGCTGACGGGTCAATATATTCATGCGAGCAAGCGTTTTCATGCATGTGTATAATACAAAGTATAGAAGCCAACTAACAAATAAAATCTAGAAGCGTGCTTAAAACTGAAAACAAGTTTTGAGCCAGGTTTAAACAAACTTTCAAAAGGCATGCAAGGCGAAACTGTTGTAAATAGTATTCAATAATTAAATTTATATACTTTGATTACTGGTTTTATTATTCTAGCAGGGCTAGATAAAATACTTTAATACTTTTTCTGCAAAACATACGTATGTTTTTATTTGAATAAATATTATTTCATGTATATATATATATATATATATATATATATATATATATATATATATATATATATATATATATATATATATATATATATATATATATATATATATATGTGTGTGTGTGTGTGTATATATATATATATATTTATATATGTATATATATATATATATATATATATATATATATATATATATATATATATATATATATATATGTGTATATAATCCTAATCAAATAACATAATATTGAAATAAAAATGTTGGTGGCTCTTTAAAAACTGGTATATTTGTAAAATTGTAACTTTTGGCTCTTCCGTCCCAAAAGGTTGCCGATCCCTGATCTAGATAATTCTATCTAGATCTAGATTATAATGTGTTTCTATACTAAATTTCAGACTTTCATTATTTGATATAATCTTTGTTTGTTTAGCTGTGCAATAGGCTAATTTAAGATAAAATTTAATTTGAAAGATACTAGATCTAGGTTTAGGGCCTATGCCCTTAAATCAAGTTTCATAAGAAGACTCAAAGAATATAGCACACAAAAAAGTCAATGTCGTCACGAGTCTAGATAGCTAAGTTGTTAGAGTAATAGGCTTCCATCCGGGTGGAACGAGTTCTAGACACATCATGTCAATGTGAATGATAAAGTTGTCTTTTGAGACTAGGCGGGATACAGGGCAGGTGAAATAGAGTTCATCTGTTTCTTTGTCCCAAGCATATGAAGGGATATTGTTGTCAGAGACATGCTTGGTCGGAATCGTTTTTTTTAAAGATACAAAAATGTTGTCTGGGACTTTGCGGGACACTGGGCAGGTGAAGTACAGTTGAGTAGTTCACCTGTGACGTCAGTATATGAAGGGATAGTGTGTTTAGACCCATGCTCATCTGAAATCGGTGTTTTTAAAAGATAAAAAACGTCGTTTCGAATGTGGGGTATTGTTATTTTTTTATCATAAGTGATAAACGTGATTTCATTTATGGATGACCCCTGAAACTCACAGTTATCTAACTAGATAACGGATTGTCTAGTATAATATAAAATTGAAAAGGACTCTGTGTCTCTGTATCTAATAGCAAACAGGTATATATTAAGAAACTCGACTTGATCGCCATAGTGTAGTATTCTTAAAGTGTTTTTTTTTTTGTAGTAACGTCTAGATAGATGATATTAATTGACCTAAGATACAAAGAACAAAAACACATTAAATGTATTACCCTTCACATACATTCAAATTGTGTCTGAAAATAAGTACAACTTACTCCCCTTAGTATCAATTACTTGCTTTGATAGATGAAAAAAAAAGAAAAAGCATTCTTTGATCTCAATATAACTAAAATAGATTATAGAATGAAGGTTGATGAAAATATGTAAACAAAAGGGACGCTACTCTAAATCTATCTATATATGTATCTATATCTGTATCTGTATTTATATCTGTATCTGTATCTGTATCTGTATCTGTATCTGTATCTGTATCTGTATCTGTATCTGTATCTGTATCTGTATCTGTATCTGTATGTGTATGTGTATGTGTATGTGTATGTGTATGTGTATGTGTATGTGTATGTGTATGTGTATGTGTATGTGTATGTGTATCTGTATCTGTATCTGTATCTGTATCTGTATGTGTATCTGTATGTGTATCTGTATGTGTATGTGTATGTGTATGTGTATGTGTATGTGTATGTGTATGTGTATGTGTATGTGTATGTGTATGTGTATGTGTATGTGTATCTGTATCTGTATCTGTATCTGTATGTGTATGTGTATCTGTATCTGTATCTGTATCTGTATCTGTATCTGTATCTGTATCTGTATCTGTATCTGTATCTGTATCTGTATCTGTATCTGTATCTGTATCTGTATGTGTATGTGTATGTGTATGTGTATGTGTATGTGTATGTGTATGTGTATGTGTATCTGTATCTGTATCTGTATCTGTATCTGTATCTGTATCTGTATCTGTATCTGTATCTGTATCTGTATCTGTATCTGTATCTGTATCTGTATCTGTATCTGTATCTGTATCTGTATCTGTATCTGTATCTGTATCTGTTTCTGTATCTGTATCTGTATCTGTATCTGTATCTGTATCTGTATCTGTATCTGTATCTGTATCTGTATCTGTATCTGTATCTGTATCTGTATCTGTATCTGTATCTGTATCTGTATCTGTATCTGTATCTGTATCTGTATCTGTATCTGTATCTGTATCTGTATCTGTATCTGTATCTGTATCTGTATCTGTATCTGTATCTGTATCTGTATCTGTATCTGTATCTGTATCTGTATCTGTATCTGTATCTGTATCTGTATCTGTATCTGTATCTGTATCTGTATCTGTATCTGTATCTGTATCTGTATCTGCAGCCCCGTCTAATCGTTGATGTCATCCATCCAGCGTCTTTGCCTTTCCCTTTTTATCCCTAATGGCACATTGGCTGACAATATGATTTTGGGTGTTTGATCTTGTAACATGACCATACCTACTCAGTTTTCTTGTTTTTACCATGCTCTGTAGACTTTCAAAGGGAACAATCACACCAGTGATACTTTCCCGGACTTATTAGTCTCTGTATGAGACCCACATGAGTCTGCGTAAACTTCTCATTTTCAGGGATTTGATTTTTATCTGGAAGTCTGCGTTAGGATTCATGCCTCTCATCGATACAGAAAGATAGACACCATCGGTAACTGAGCTAGTTTAATTGTGTGCTAATAGAAGTGTTGTTGTAATGCAATGTTTCTTAATTTATTGAGTGCTTTTTTTTTGGCACATCTTGCGAGTATTTCTTGCTTCGTTCCTTCATCGGGTGGTATGGCGCAAAGATACTTAAATGATTTAACTTACTCCAAAGATACCTGAATGATTGAACTTACTCCAATCTTTGATCATATAATTTACTTTATTAATGACTTATTTAGTGTTTTGAATTATACAAAAAGAAGCCATCCAATAATTATTCGTATCAGTTGACTCTTAAGAGGTCTGAACAAGAAATTTAAATTGTGCTCTAATATACAGAATACCCGTGCTCCGACACGTTGAATCTTTTTAAATGTACCAACTTAGGAATAGAACAAAACTAACTACAAACGCAAACACAAAAGAAAACACAATCACAACACAAACACAACAAACACAACGCAAACATAAACATAAACATAAACACAAAAGAAAACAAAAGCACAAAATAAAAAAAAACAAAGGAAAACACAAACAAAAATGCAAAAAAAAAAAAAAAACAACGCAAAAAACAACTTAAAAAAATGCAAACACAAACACCATGCAAACGCAAATGAAAAAAAAACCCAAAAAAACCCATCACAAACGCAACACGTTAACACAAACCCAAACTCAAACCTAAACGCAAACAACAACGAATGGCATAAACACAAACCTAAGTTCAAACATAAACGCATTGTGCTCAAAGTCTAGCCCGGGGCTAATCTTAACCCTAACCCATAGCGCTCACAAGATAGCCCATCGCGCAAAATTGAACCCTGCACGGGCGCCGGCGAACGCGCCTGATTCAATTTAGTCAACGGCTGTTAAGAAACCAGGTTGTCCGCAAACCGAAAGATAGAAGTAAACATAGAGGAAATTTAGTAGCGGTTTCTAAATGGTTATTGATTAAAAATAATAATTAGTAAACATTACGTTCCGTGCATAAAATAAATAAACGAAAAGGCAGTATTTACAATATCCGTGTTTTACCTACCATAGTGCACTTTATCAATTCATGCTAATTATAATAATCCAACAATAATGACCTCTTGATGTCCGCATAATTTGCATTAACATTTTATGTTATGATCGTGATTTCATTTTTTTTAAATTACCACACATGGCATAATTATTAAACATTTTAAATAATTACTTCATTTTACCATACTGTTATTATTATTTATCAATTTTTTTCCAGCAATCTAAAAAAATATATTATTTGACATTGATCCGTTTAATATGTTTTAGTAATGTGCGAGAATTTAATATTTTCTACACTTTATGCGAAAGAGTAAAAGCGGGAACAACTGTAAAATAAAATTAAATCGTTATACTATAAACAAACCCCACTCTAACACAATTCTATGCAATTTAAAAGCACTGCATTGTTTCAAGATTAATTTTATGGTTCCAGAATCTATACGGATGACGGAATGTCTGACGGAATGACGGACTGACAGACTACTACAAGCCTTATATTATAGATTTGTATATTTTTTCACACAATTAGTCACTTTTAAATTATATGTGCTTAATCGGTGAGTTACGAAAATCGAAGAAAAATATTAGCAAGTTTATTTTAAAAATGTATTTTTCCTATATTGCAGATTGGATAACCTGCTGAAATGAAAATATATATTTTTTGCACGTTACTTACTCTGCATTGTTTTGATATAGCTTTATCCGAAAAGAACACACAAAATCACATTTCAGAAAATGTTCTACCAATCGAATTGCAAGTGCTTATATTAGGTTTTAACAACATAAACTTTGATGCAATGATAGATTACTTTTATAAACCAAAAGCAAAAAGTTGCCTCAACATTTATAATTTTTACAATGGATACACACTGCTAATGATAGAATCATACCGTGGACATGTTACGTCCGTGCAGCATTTACTTGAACGAAATGTGAATGTCAATGTTTTGTCTGAATCTGGCGAGACGGCCCTCACACTGGCATCACGTGAAGGTCATCACGATGTCGTTGATTTACTACTCAAATACAACGCTGATGTTAACACTACGACATATTTTGGTATGACTTCTCTTATGACAGCTTCAATGTTGGGCCACACCAAAACTGTTGAAGTTTTATTAAAGTATGATGTCAATATTAACCAAATGTGTCAATTTAATTTGAGCGCTTTTACTATCGCACTTTATAGAAACAGAACTGATGTTATTCAATTGTTTTTAAAGTATGGTTTACATAAAAAATCATTTAAAGTAGACACGGAGACTCTCGAAAATTCTCTTTTTTATGCTGCTTATACAGGGAATGTTCATATGCTTGACTTGCTTGTTAGCCATATTGTGGATCCCAAAGTGGCAGCTTTAGGATTGATAGCTGCATTACACAAACATAGGTATCCGGCAGTCGAGATTTTCCTGAAGTATCATAACATTAATTACATGATGGTAAATGACACGCCTGTACTAATTTTACTGGCAGGTTACGGAAGTGACTCTAATGTAGAGTTTTCATTAAGAAATACAGCTGATGTCAACATTGTTTCAGCTTCTGATGGCATGACTGCTTTAATGAAGGCCGCGGCAATGGGTCATTTATCCACAATAAGGCTGTTATTAAAATACAAAGCGAATGTGGACTATGTTTCTAAAAATAGTTCCTTTACAATTGGTGATGAGAAAGTTGGACAATCTGCTTTAATTTTAGCAACGTCAAGAGGTCACGAAGAAATAGTTGACTTGCTACTCAAACATAGTAATAATAAAAACGTAGATTCTAAAGAACTTATGTACCCTTTTATGATAGCAATCTATAATGGTAGTATGCATATAGTGGAGATTTTTCTAAAACACGGTGCTAATGTAAATAAGGAGATAAGCGGTCACAAAAGCCCATTTGTAACAGCAGCTTTAAGAAATAATATAAAGCTTTTAGAAATTATCTTACACTCGCAAACAAGGAACAACAAAACTATTGTTCAAACGAATTCCCTGGTTAACGCCCTTATGGTTTCTTCTTCAAAAGGCTATTCAAAAATGGTGGAATTGCTTCTAAAACACATTACCGACATCGAGTCCATAAATGATGGTATGCTATTGGCACTAAAGGAACACCAACACTCGGTTTTGCAGGTATATTTTAAACATGTTGACATTAATTCTATAGTTGTAAATGGCTTAACTTTGCTTGTGTACGAGTTGTCTCATGGTGATCAAGAAAATATGGATTTTCTGTTAAGAAACAAAGCAGATGTCAACAGACCTACAAAATCCATTGGATATACACCTTTAATGCTCGCGGTACAGTTTCAATATATAAATGCCGTCCGATTATTGTTACGTTATAAAGCTAATGTTAATCACAAGAATGCAAATGATTTAACTGCACTCGATATATCTGTAACGTTGAAAAATGAAAAAATAGTTGAGCTACTTCTACAACATAATGCTGACCCAAACATCCAGTCTAATGACGGGCTAACTCCGTTAATGTCTGTTGCACATCAAGGACCTACATCCATTGTTGAGCTTCTTATCAAACATGGCGCTGATGTAAATAAAGTTTCAAGTAAAGGAATTACAGCGCTTCTTGTGGCAGTAATTAATGGACACGAGAAAACAGTTAAGTTGCTTCTTGAGCAAAATGCTGATATACAATTTAAAAGCGATACATTAAAAGAAACAGCTCTACTGATTGCAACAAACAAAGGATATTTGAAAATTGTGGAATTACTTTTGAATCATGGAGCTAAAGTTGAAGAAACAAATCTACACGGCTATACACCTTTAATGGTTGCGACTAAGGAAGGCTACGCTGATATTGTAAAAATTCTTCTTAAATATGGGGCAGATGTGAATAGAGTAAATGTTTTAATGGAAGACGCTTTAATGATAGCTGTATCTATGGAGAATATCGGCATTGTGAAAATATTATTAGATCATGATGTTAACATACGCAAGAAAAACAACAATGGTGAAACTGCATTTGACATTGCCATGGAGAAGGATAACTATGCTATTCTTAAAGTTTTAAAACAATACATTAAAAGAATTGAAGCTTCGTCTCAAAGGAAAAAACAGCAACATGGCTCTATAAAATCACCGAAATCCCAACAAACTCTCAAAGACATGTCTTAAAGTAATACAGTAAAAAATAAAAAGGGAGAAAACTATCAAGGATATAGAGGTAAGAATAATTATACTATTTAAATTAGATCATATTTACCAAAGGAAAGCACTGTCTAATAATTTTAATTAAAAACATGGCGGCACTTTTAAGTTTATTTTTCGCAAAATATATCAATATCTGAAAGGGAATTATTCTTTAACTTGTACATTTCTACACACATCACCCACATGACGTCAATTGTTTTTAGCTTTTTTAATACAAAGAAATATGTTATATGCTAGGAATGTGCTAATGTAATTTACTTTTGATTTTAAGTGCATGAGGCTTTTAAGCAAGGATATAAATTAAAATAATCTACGATTCAATTGATTAGGATTATGATGCCACCAAACCAAATAATGTCATAAAAAAGCTACATAAAGTCAAACATATTTATTTTTTAAAACAAAGAATTGAGTTGAGATTTAAATTTAGTTTAGACGCCCTGATACACAAGTGTTCTAGTTTAAAACAATCATAAACATTATTTAGCAATCTGATATTCTAGGTATATGGTACATACTTTAGAACAATAAACGACTGTTAAGTAACAGAATAATTTTCCTTTATACTACATCTGCAGGAAGCATGTTTATTAAGACTATTAAGGAAAATGTGCTTTGCTTTGTCTGCATAACTATAATTGTTGGTATCATAATCTCGGTTTATTTTTTTCGGAAACATAACGTAAATGTAAGTTTAATTATCTTTTTTTATATTTTCCTCTGTGTATTCTCTATTTCTATCTCTCTCTCTCTCTATATATATATATATATATATATATATATATATATATATATAATATATATATATATATATAGGCCTCTCTCTCTCTCTAACTTTCTCTCTCTCTCTCTCTCTCTCTCTCTCTCTCTCTCTATATATATATATATATATATATATATATATATATATATATATATATATATATATATATATATATATAGGCCTAAATATGTATATATAATTTTAAAAAAGATTTCTTAACAAAATGCAATATTGAAGAACTTGTGCACCTGATAAATGGTGCTATTACTTCATTTCTAGTTGCCAAGTACAAGAGAGTCAACAATTCCTTGTTTCGACCAATTTTTCGGCTTGTTAAAATGTTACTGGTCAACATTAGTTCAGGTAACGAGACAGCCTTTGGTACTGGAGTACTACCACAAGAGTAGCCACAACGTTTCTCCTTGGTTTGAGCGGATACATAATAGCGATGTCAAGATGTATTTGGAGGGCACGAACACAAGCGCACCGGACCTTGATTTGAGAATAAGTAAAGACTTATCTCCACATCAAATGACGGATGCTTTGATATTTAATTGTATTATTTTAAGCTACACAGTCCGTCTGATCGAAATTATAAACGAACATCCTTTGTCTCTGAAAAACAAGGTAGACATTTATTTTTACGTGACAACTAACCAATGTTGAGTTCGGAAGGTGACTAGTGCAATCGATTAGACTGCTATTTTAATTTTATATTTTATTTAAATCGGAACTGCTATTAATCTCTACAATTATAATTAAGGTTGACGTATTATTATGAAACAGCTTTAATAATGGTTTTGCTCTTTTAATATAGGTTTCAACAGATGTTAAAGATCTGATAATGTTTTAGAGGCTGTGTCCAGTACCTTGACCAGGTTCCAAGCCCTCTTACCCTGGTCAGTTTCAGAGTGGTTTAATAAAATAAATGGACAAATAATTAAGCTACAAACTAAAGTAAATAATATGAGTTGCATTAGACGTGATGACAAGCAACTTGCCGAATTCAACTTTAAGGAAAATCTAATTGTGTACGATGTTGATATCTTGTGTAATGTTTTGGGACTCGACACAAAATTTTCAGAATTTTCAAAGCAAGTGGATGTTGACATGTGGCTACATGATGTACAGTCCAGCCTTGTTTTGAATTGGTTTAAACGTAACAGTGAAGTCACGCCCCAAACAGAATCAAACGTTAAACATGAGACTGAAGCTGTTTCATTGAAACAAGAATTATCGTCGCTAGGTTTTACTACAATGAAAGCAGCATCAATAGCAGAAGACATCCCAGAAGATTGGATCAACCACCAGTCAGCTTTAGACCTGGCTACATCACATATTTTAGACATGTTCCAATGTCATCCTGTGTTAACTGAGGCCAGTGGATTTCCCTACAATAACACAGTGACTGGTGTTTTGTTTGAACAAACAGTCAAGTTTGACGATAGGGAAATTGTATCCGACCGTGGTATACACATGATCAATGTTTCTGATTTCAATAAAGATGAAGCTCGTACAACTTTTCAAAAATTTATAAAGGAATGCAAAGTACAAGCAGAGGAGGAAGTGGTTAAATTGTATCATGGAACATCTCATGCAGACATTGTGTCTATTCTAACTGAAGGCGTTATTTTAAGTGAAGGTCGACCACGTCAAGATTTCTCCCACAACGATGGGTTTTATCTATCCTACATTTTTAACCACGCCAAGAAAAGAGCTATGTACAGATCTAGAAGACCCGCTGTGATTGTGTATAGTATTGCCACGTCAACCCTCCAACAATTTATTGAACTCTGTCTAGACGAAGACATTGTGGAGTGGAGTAAAGTAATCAAGTACTGCAGAAAGGGATATAGAAGACCCCATCCAGAGAGATTTTATGACTTTCATTACATCACTGGGCCAATGTGCAAGAACCCAGAGGGTGTATGTAAGAGAAATGAGGAACCAGAAACACACGAAGACGTGCAAAAACAAATGTGCATAAAATCTCCCAAGTTAGCAGAAGTTTTCAATATTCCTGACAGCATTATTTGTGTCATATTCTACGATGAATCCGTACAATAATATTTTTAAGACTAGACATATTTTTTTTTTATAAATACCTTGTTTAATTTCTGATAGCATATAAAAACATATTAAGACTTCGATTTCGATGGATGTTTCATAGCCTTTGAGAATACATTGTTTTGTGTTGGCTTCCCTTTTTTTTTCTTTGAAGATATAAAGTAAGTCAAATATGCCTTGCTCGGTTTGCTCAGTGTAATAACTTTTGGGAGTGTAGCGCAGGCAGCAGGCTTGTTAACTGCCATGCGATAATATTTTTAGAAGCGTTACACCACTGGAGGGAAAAAAACATACAATTTTTTCGGATCAAACCGTAAAAGCTGTATTTATTGTGAAGTTACACATTCTTTTAATCTGATGTGGTTTTGATTTATTTGTGAAGAAACGTCACTTCTTGTTAATGCTGTTATAGTCAATTGTTTTTGGAAATGCTCTGCCCGTGTCTTCTCCTGATAGTCCAAATTACGTATCACAATTACATAAATTTGAATCCTCTTGCATCTTGTTTTTGCTGACATTGCGTTTTTCTATTTTAACTATCGTTCAACTTTTGTTTCCTCCTGCGATACAAAAATGTGTCTGAATTTTCAGATATGTCTCACTAACTTCTTTTGTGTTTTTTTTTTTTTTTACAATTTTCGACGTTTGTTAGCTATGAAGTTCTATTTGGGTAATTTATGTTAACAGTTCGTGCACCAGTCACAGATCGATTCAACAAAATGTGGAAATTTTAACATTTTAATGACATCACCCGTTGGTGACTAGGTGATAAATGATTGTCCACATACACAGTTCATAGAGCACGCATTTTATCTAAATATCAAGGGACACTACTTGGATAATGCTTGACCGACTCAGTTCATGCCCTCAATCACATCATGGACAACAATTTCTCATGCTTCAGTTTGACATTTTTGGACAGGTCTTTCATTTCTAGTTCATATGCCCCATGGACCAGAAGCGGAACTACAGTGCCGCCAGACCCCGCAATGCGGGGGGGCCCACGCCATTTAGGGGCCCAGAGCCGACCATTGATACATTTTTTATAGTTAAAAAAAAGTAAATTTTCTTTCTTTTTTGACTTAATGGTTGTTTTGTAAAAAAATTACCGTAGCTGCGGTTAGATTATCTTTATTCTATAGACACCACCCCACGCTCTTGTATATTCTTTTTCCCTTTGTTTTTAAACCAGTGTGAAAGCCGAGTCTTTCTCCTACAATTAAACTTATCAAAGATAAGCAAATGTTCAAACCACTTCCATGACTTATTTCCCTTTTCTTAAAAATAGTAAAATAGGGGTGATCATAAGCTCCTTTTAATAGATTTGTACTAAACAAATTAAAAAGCAATTATTTCTCTTAATTATTATTTTTTTATATAGTAATTACTAAAGAATGACATTGTATAAAAAGAAGATGTATTAAATCAATAATATTTTAAAACGTAATAATATAGATACAAAAAAAAAACATAAAAATAAACATAACACGAGACACCATTACTTATACAAAGCTTTCATATTTTATATTATTTTTGACCGTAAGATGTTAAAGGCGATTATATCAAACATTAAATAAAACTGATTCTCACAAAGCACACTAATGCACTTACACCAGGGGTCGGCAACCTTTTGAGGGGGAAGAGCCAAAAGTTACAATTTACAAAATTTCCCAGTTTTTAAAGAGCCACCAACAATTATTTTTCAACATTTTGTATTTAATTAGGATTAGTTAAATAAATTTGATTTGCTGTTTAAAATAAATAGCGTTAAATATAAAATAATTTTAATTCATTTAAAAACATACACATTTTTCACCAGAAAAATAAAATTAATTATCAAATAATATACTATCCCAATCCACTTTAGAAGCTTTTATTTTTATTTACTGATAACACCGGCTCAGGGGGTGTCTCCCATTAGCCAGGCAGGCCTCAACACGGCAAACCAGACTAACTGGCTTAAGTATCGGTTTGATTACCGTGTATCGGTCGCTTCTGTTCTTAGGTTCTCGCAGGCTTATATTCCTCCCTACCTGAACGCAGGGTAAACTTGTACCCCGCCGCCCAGTGCTAAAGAAATTATATAACCATTAATATGTGTGCAAAGAGCTGGAGAGCCGCATGTTAACACCAA